CCTCTGGTGGCCGGGGAGCAGCCGGGGAATGAACCGGCGCTGCAGAGGCTGCGGTCAGCTTCGCAACCCAGCGCTCAACCACTGCGCCACCGGGGAGGCCCTGCCAGTGTAAATTTGATCCTGGTCCACTGCTTAGCGATGTGCCACCAGCTCCAGGCTCTTATTCAACAGTACCATCTTGCACGAGCAGCCTTTACTTGAGACTACTGGACACTGTGGACACTATCTGGGGTGAGACAGTGGCCATTTGTGGCCTTAGAAACTCTTTTGTTTTCCCAATCTCCTGTTGTTAGATAAAGGCCATTGCAGCAGCACCCTGAGCCTGATGGTGTCTTACAATTGAGCGCACAGGTGGGAATAGACAGTGACCTGTCCGCCTCCTTCATGCTGGCCTTTATCACGTTTTAAGTACCTTTTAGTCACTGTTTTATTAGGAATTATCTGTGGCCATTTGGGAATGTAGGGACACTGGTTACCATGAGGAGTATATAACCCGACTATAACCCAGCAAGGAATAAAATAAGGTTAAGATTATTTTAGGAGTTAGGGAAACTGTCTAACGAAGAAAGTTTTTTATAACTCTTCTAGTTTTACTTGTGTTTTAGCTCTTCCACCTAAGACTGGAAAAATATAACATACCTTGTAGGTTTCTCTCTCTTTCTTTTTTTTTTTCAGAATGACTAGAAGTTCTTGTTAAACGTCTATTCCAGAATGGTTACATGACTTACAAGATCCGACTTGGTTATAAAATATCAAATTTGTGCTCTTCTTTCTGTTGACTAGAACTGTGTGATAAATCACCTAGCTGAAGCTAATGAAAAAAATTAGATTTTTCCTTATAAGCTGGAGTGATAAATGTGTATCATTCTTTGGATGATTCTGTTTTAATCAGAATACCATCTTTGACTTAATGTTTCAGCAGTCAGTTAGAATGTACTTTTCCAGGTTTTCTTTTGTTAGGGCTTTCTCATATTAGAAATAGAAGTCTGTTTGTATGTCTAATTTTATTGTGTGATCATCTTGATTCATCTGGCATCTCTTCCTATTCCAGTCTCTCCATCGTGCATACCTTACCATAACTTACCTTTCTACAGAGTTATTAAATAACTGTTATTACCAGACTGCTAAGAAACAGTTTCCCAAGGCCCAAGTGGAACCTGATCTCATGCGCAAAAAGCAGGTCTCTTCAGAAAGGGCCTCCAGCTAGTCTTTCCAACCTGTGTTGGCACAGAGAAGAAAGATCACACCTGCAGGGATACAGGTGATAAGGTGGAGCGCTGGAGGGGTACCTTAGTTCTCATTGAAATGGCTTTTTTAAAAGCCCAGGAATACATGTTCCGTTTACTTTTTTGTTTTAAATTACTCTTGGGTAATTCTTCATTCGTCTGCCTAGGAATGTGTTACTACTGCCTGGTTCTTGCTTACATCTTTTAGGCCTGGGGTGTCCTCTCCTTTGACTGAAGAGCCCCTGCAGATCCTACCCATATTTCAAGACTGAAACAGTTTCCTTTTCTCGAGTCCCAGTTTCCTTCATCTCTTTCAGGTCTGCCATTTCCCCAGTGGTTTCCCCTCATTGCCTCTGTCCATTGCTCCTGCGATTATTTGCCTTTTGCATGGTCGTTCTTTTCCCACTTATTTGGGGTCTGGATCCTTGGCATCTTACAGCAGGAGCCGTGAGGGTGGTAGACCATTGCCTCAACTCAGCACCTGAAACACGCTTGCTGACTAACAGGGCTGTACTTCCCAAGTGGATCTCCTGCACAGAGCTTATCTGATGAGCCGTTCGGGGAATGTGGCATCAGGTTTATCAGTCAATTTTCAGAAGTAGAATGTTCAGGGATTGGCCAACTTTTAACTGTGGGCATGGTGTCCCTCCTGTAGATGCCTGGCATTCAGAGTGCTAGAGTGAAGTGATTGCACATCAGTGGCCTTCACTGGAGTGAGGTGATTATTGATTGGCCTCTTGAAGCTTTACTATTGATAGAAAGCTCAAAGAAGTCAGTTAGAATAGGTGTAAAACCCATTGCTGAGGGACAACTAGTGTTTCCTAGGCCATAGACACTTATAATTTCCCCTATCCTAGAATACGTACTACGCATCAGACTGCATCCACCCCTGGAAGTGAGCACACGAGCACAGATTTGGGGGTGAACAGGCCTGAACTCCAATCCTGATCTTATCATTTAACAAGTCACTTAGTCTTTATCTTCCTCATTTCCCAGAAAAGGTCATTGTCCTTAAGTTAATGTGTGTCAGGTGCCCAGCGTACCTCAGTGTGGCTTTCCTGAGCTGGGCATCTTCGTGGCTATGGCAACCGACAGGTCTCTGACTTGGAGGGGGATCGTGAGAGGACTTTGTGGCTCATTCCCCTCTTAGTTGGCTTTTTCCCTTCTAGGCCTGTCAGAATCACTTGGTAAGCTGTAAAAATAAAACCATAGTTTCTCAGGTCTCACTCCTAGATATTCTGCTATAAATGATCTGTGGAGAGCCCAGGCACTGGTATTTTTTTTAACTCCCGCGTGATAGTCAATGTGCACTGAAACATACTGTGCCTGGCCAGCTCCGCACTTAACTGTTGTTCATGCAGTTAGATCAGGCAGAAAATTAATAAATTGCTTTGATTGGTCTTAAGTGATGGGCTGGTTCTCTTTTGAAAACTGTAATTAAGAAACAAAAATCTCTACTCAAATGGAATATTCTCTGAGTCCCATTCCTATTATGGCTATAGCCCCACTTGTGATTATTAAAAAGAAGAGAAAAACTGTCTTCATGACTTTCAAAAGTCTCACCTGACAGAAAGGCTTGGATAGATAGAGATAGATGGGCACAGACTTGAGATTTCCTGAAAGTAGGTAACAAAATTGTCTACAGTTTGAAAATGAGCTTTGTGTAGACTCGGCCCTCTTGGCTCTTGTATACATTATGCATAAGGCTTATTAAACATTTCTCCTTCCCAAAAGGTTTGTTGTCTCTAAATTTGGAAGTTAACTCATGAAAGAAGACATGTTTTATTTATAAATTTCTTTATTGTCTGATAGAAACTGGCATGTTATTTAAACAAGTATTCATGTTTCTTTCCATGGAGTCAGTGCACATACTGTATCTCCTCTATAATTCTGAAGTAATCCCTACAAAATAATGAGGACTGCTCTGTATCTGAGAGGAAGACAGTTTTAATCACGAATCTTTCCGTCAAACTAGCTTCTGAGGTTTGAGAAAACTTCTAGTCAGTGGAAGGACTGAAAGTTGGATTTTTTTCTACTGAGAAAACACTAGCTCTTCTTGTGGCTAGGAGATACACAGTTGCTAAAATAGTTGACAGCTTTATTTCTTTAAGTCATTCAGGTATACCTTTCCTATATATTACTCCAAAATTGACTTAACTACCTATATACTACATTTATTTGTGGTTTTATAAACTTTTTATTTCAGAATAATGTTATTACAGTTTATTCTTGGTGTTGCATGTTTGTAGTCTTGACAGATGAATGTGACATGAGCCACTATTAGGGTATGATAAAAATCTGTGATCCACTTCTTCTCTCCCTGCCCTCCTGCCCCTGGCAATTCCTGATCTTTTCATTTTCTCCATAGTTTTGCCTTTTTTCAAAATGTCATATAGTTGTAATTGTTAGAGAAGAAATTATTCACACCACTTTTATAGAATTGTAAGGCAGACTTGATTCAGGGGAGTCTACTGTATGGGAGCTTTGCAGTGAAGGAGAAAGATTGGACTCAACTCCTAATACAAGAAGGGAAAGTAGAAATTTATAGCCAAAGAGTAGGGTAGGTAGGGGGTCAAAGAATGGAAAATTACTAAGATGATAAACATTAGAAATGGGGTGGGGTGTAGGAATAGGGATAAACTGGCTAAACTGACCTAAAGAGTTCTTTCTGAAGACAGACTGGGTGATTATATATACCCTGGGTGAGGGTAGAGGACTGTTGCTGAACCAGCTTAGCAAGATTCTTGTTAAAATTGGACAGTGCAAAGATAGACAGATATGGAAGTAGAAAAATGAAGGCCTAGTTGGGAGAGGATACAGAGGAGCCTGACTAAAGTTTGGTCAAGGAGAGAGTCCTTGTGAGAATCAGACAGTGTACTGGCTTTTCAGATTGCCTCTTTTCACTTAGTAATATGCATCCAAAGTTTCTCTTTGTCATTGCTTGGCTATGTAACTCATTTCCTTTTTATCACTAAGTAATAATTCCATTATCTGTCCTACCACAGTTTGTTTTCTTCATTAACTTTCTTAAAGATATCTTGGTCACTTCCATGTTCTAGCATTTATAAATAAAGCTGCTATAAACATCTGGTGTGCAGGTTTTAATATGAGTTTTCAAAAATAATTTTATATTTACAGGAAAGTTTGCAAAGGTATTGTCAAGCATCCCTGTGTGCCCTTCACACAGTTTCCCCTAATGTTAGCATGTTACATAACTGATCCATTTGCAAAACCAAGATATTAACATTGGTGCCATATTATTAATTTGAACATCATTGGATTTCACCAGTATTTCCACTAATTTGTTTTTCTATTTCAGGATCTAGTCTAGGATACCACATTGCATAAGTTCTATATTTATTTTAATTATAGGAACAGTCTGGATGTATTGTGTTTTTTAAATACGTTCATAAAGCAGCATATTTTGCAGGAATGGATGTAAATATACTGGCTATGAGGAACTGGTCTTTCTTAATCCAAATGAACACATTTAATTATAATATTTTTACTTATGATTGTTTGAAGGTTTATTTTTGGTGGAGAACTTGGTTCTCAGAGTTCTCAGAAATTAAGAATCGTTTTATACAAATCTTCAACACAAAATACTAAAATTTGTTGAAAGAAGGTTGTTTTTTAAGGTTGAGTATCTCAAAACCCAGGAGAAAACAGACTGCTGAGTTCTAATAAAAGCTGTCAGTCCCTGATTGTTCAAGGTAATGCAAAGGATGAAGTATTTGGTTCTCTAACAAGCATCTCCAAATGTTTTGCTGGCAGAAGGACTCCATGAAAGATGACAGAAGAAGTAATTGTCATAGCCAAGTGGGACTACACGGCCCAGCAAGACCAGGAGCTGGACATCAAGAAGAACGAGCGGCTGTGGCTGCTGGACGACTCCAAGACGTGGTGGCGGGTGAGGAACGCGGCCAACAGGACAGGCTACGTGCCGTCCAACTATGTGGAGAGGAAGAACAGCTTGAAGAAAGGCTCCCTGGTGAAGAACCTGAAGGACACACTCGGTGAGTATCCCCACACAGTCCAGCCCATATTGCTAAACTGCTTCCCATATGGGAGCCAAGAATCCTTGTGCTTTTTCAGGGGAGAGTGTTCAGCTTTAAATGTTCATGTGTTTTCTTTAAAGTCTTTAAATCTTTCTAGCTATCTTTTTTTAAAAATCTCTGAGAACTAAGGGGTCAAGATGGAGAACTCTCAGACTTGTCACCTCCTGGAGATTTTAGAGTTTAGAGTTTTAAGTAAGTTGACACTTCTGTGTGTCACACATGTACCTGTCTCTTGGCATCACCATTCTAGAGGATCCTGAAATGGAATCACCTCCTCCAGAAATCTCAACAGCTCTGCCATGTCATTCCATCAGCTCTTTCGTGCACGGAAGAAGAGATAACAAGGAACACCTTGTACCTGGGTGGCTTTTCCCCTCTTTCAGATTGAAGATGTTTCATAGCCTGGTGCTAGACAGTGTTAGGTAAAGTGGCAGCTGGACACGCCCTAGCGTGACATTCGAGGTCTTCTAGGGTCACTCAGGTGGGAGCTGCTGGGAGCTTGGCATGGCCAATCATCACCCACCTTTCTTCACATGTCTTCTTTTTCCTCTCGTATCTGGATATACGAAAGGCCCCTTTGAATCAGGTGAAGTTAATAGTGTCCAGTCTTGCCTTCATATGCACATCAGACTGACCAGTAGTAGTTACTGCTCCAGATTATTTGAGAAAATAATTTGAGGACCTTTCTGAAGAATGGTTGAACTGGACTGCCATTTTAAAAAGTTCCTATTCTCTCCTTAAATGAGTATAATGTGGGTTGTACCAAGACTGCTGTTTCACATTTAAGAATTTGTTGTTGTAATAAATCAGTATTATCATCCATGTCACATTTACTTGTTGTTTTTCATTTCTGACAAGAGGGTAGATTTCATACCAAGTATGGTAGGTGTGGTAAGATACACATCTTTCCTTTTATGCAATCTTGAAAACTAATTTGCTCACTCTTCAAAGCCATTTGAAGCTTTTGTTTATTGGGTAGTATTTTTGCTGTGGATTAAGTTATTTCCATGATTTGGAAAGAGAAGTGAGACACAGGCCTGCTTATGAATCACACCAGATTACCAGCTGTCATAGGTTCTGAGCCTGATGTAGAAATTCCATTTTTCATGAACAGACTCACACTTTTCCACTAAACTGACACTGCTTTAACTTGTCACCCAAACATGTCTCTTGAAAAGGTGGCTGTCTTAATTCACTATGGTAAAGAAATGGGGGTACCAAGTAGCATGAGTAGACACAAACTGAGTGCCCTGGGCTCTAAGATTGGAGCACACTCAGCCAGCCTGTGTTCGTGCTGCGTGCTGGGCCGCCACCACCCTGGCAGATGGCCGCCCGGCTCCACTGGAACACGTCTGCTCAGGAGTCAGCCAGTTCCATTTTTGGAGAACACAGATTGTTAGAAAGCTCTTTTTAAATAGAATCAAAGTTTGCTTTTCTTTAACTTTCTCCCCTTGGCTCTCCTCTTGCCCTGGAGTGCTTAGCTGAGTAAAGGCTGCTCCTCTCCTCTGGCCTCTTCTCTAGCCTCTGCCAGGCTTCAGCTCTGTCCCCCACATATCCTTGAAAACATTTGTGGTGAACACTATGTATTGCAAAAATACAAGTAAAATTGTCTTTAACTTCCACATCTGTGAACAGCATTTGCTATTCATAGTCTAAACTCTCTTGGGAATCAGGAGTCTTATCACCTGGGAGAAATGCCCCCCATTTTTTAAATTTTTTTATTTTGATGTGTTTGTCATGCTCATCCTGAGCCTAGCTTTTGTCAGACAAGGAGAGACCTTGGTATCTCAGCATGAGGTTTCCATGACCCTCCAGTATCAAAGCAAAGGAAGGCACCCTGACAAGAGATCATCACGCTGGGGTGACTTAATTCCCTACAGCCATACTCGGCATGGCATCATTGTTGAAAAGGAAGGTTAGAGAACTTTCTGCAGCCCCTTCTGCTTCCCACTGGTCTTGATGGCTAAAAAAGATTGGCACTAAAGTGTTCACAGTTTTCTACTTAGATTATTGTCTCCAGACCGCCACCAGAATTATAGAATGATTTTAGATGGATAATGCCGCCACAGAAAGGAGTACGTCTTGTTTCTGAAACAACATCAGAACTACATTGCATCTATTGACCTTGTAATAGCTACTTGTGGGACTTTTTTCCTCCTATAAAAACCCATCTAGGGCCTCCCCGGTGGCGCAGAAGTTGAGCACTGGGTTGCGAAGCTGCCCGCAGCCTCTGCAGCGCCAGTTCGATCCCTGGCTGCTCCCCAGCCACCGGGCGAGGGTCCCGCATGGCGCACAGACCTCTCCTGCCACCTGCTGCTCCCCTCAGCAGTGTACTTCAGTCCTTCTGCCTGCTCTGCTCCCCACTCTGGCTCTGGTGAATTCTCTCACCCTCCCGAGTTTCTGACTGTACCCAGTGCTTGTATAAATAAATAAACAAATCTTTTTTTAGGAAAAAAAAACATCTAATTCTTAAATCCATGGTAAGATTTCCCTGGCAGACCCCTGGCTTGGAATAAAATATCATCAAACTGCCCAACAAAGGAAGTGTTGAGAATGTGTTTATATCTCTAATTGCAGGTAACCAACTTTATAATGGTCTTTCCTGCTTTTTGAGATTCATTTGCAGTGTTGAGGTTGGACTTGAGTTTAATTTAATCACATGTATTGCTTTGTCAAGAGTCACTGCTAGAAAGCAGTGCCTTTGACAAAAAGATCTCTCTGTTTGGCAAGGATTTAACATTATTTTCCTTTAATGATTACAATGGGCTAAAACTAAGTGAGCCCTTCTTTGCCCCTGAGCAAAGCATTTATAGACTGGATCTCCCCTCACATTCAACCTACAGTCATGAATAGTCAGAACGTTTCCATGGATAACAAAAAGCAACTGTTAAGAGCTGTTTCTGATGTTTTGAAGGCCCCCAACTCTACAGCTCCCTGCTCAGCAGTGAGTGCTCCTGGGCTGCAAGCCGACTTACACACTTATGCACACTAGGTGTTTTAAAGCCTGTGCTAAATCTTTTGAGATGGGGAAGCTGTTCCTAGGGAAGTAATTTTCAAAGATTTTCCTTCAGGCTTTTAAAAAATCAGTTTTTTTCCTAACCTTTTTATGATAGCAGTGGGAACCCACCAAAGCCCCAAAGATTAACAACTCTTCTCAGTGGTTAACTTAAATTCAGGTACTGACTTGGGTTACCCAAAAAGATACTTAGTGTATCTTATAATACCTGTTAGTAACCTCCTTGGGAGAGTTTGTTGAAAGGTATACACATGGCCAGTGCCAGCCACCTCCCTAGGTGTCTGGAACCAGAAGTGACCTGTCCCCAGGGCTGCTCCTTTAGTTTTTGTCCCAATGTGACCAAAAACTAAAGGCTACTTAGAAACCTGCAGGTGATAAGTACCAGGACTCCCACCTCTGTGATGCCAAACCAGGCCTAGTAGCACCTAGGAGAGGCAGCTGAAAGGGACTCCCAAATGCTGGCTGTAACAGAGCCCTCCTACTGACTTAAGTTAATGCTTTCCGATGGGCAGGGGGTGGTTACTCTGGGTGAAATCACAAAATTCTCAGTCCCTCCTGAGATCGGTTTTGTTTTTTTTTTTTTTTTTTAATATTTTTTTTTTTTAAATAATTTTTTATAGAGGCATGTTTTTATTTATTTGTTTGTTTGTTTGTTTGTTTATACATGCACTGGGTACAGTCAGAAGCGCGGGAGGGTGAGAGAATTCACCAGAGCCAGAGCGGGGAGCAGAGCAGGCAGAAGGACCGAAGTACACTGCTGAGGGGAGCAGCGGGCGGCAGGAGAGCGCCATGTGGGACCCTCCTCTGGTGGCCGGGGAGCAGCCGGGGATCGAACCTGCGTCGCAGAGGCCGCGGGCAGCTTCACAACCCAGCGCTCAACCGCTGCGCCACCGGGGAGGCCCTGAGATCGGTTTTGGAGTGGCTGAGTAATAACCCTGAGATATAGAGTTCATTACCGGTACGGGACAGGTGGGGCTTCAGCTTACACTTGGACTGTGATTTTGCAGAAGAATGTCCTTACTTCTGGAATTATCAAGTACCGGGGAGATGGGATTTCATGTTTGCTACTTACTGTCAGGTAATTTGGGGAAAATAATATTCTTTGTGTTGTTCTTGTCTTTCTGAACATTAAAATAAAGGGACAGATACAACACAGTTTAGAGAGCACCCCAGACTATAAATTTGGTGCAAAGCAGAGGAGATATAACTGGGACTCTGCTCTATTTGGGCATCTGGGATGTTACAGTGCCTTGAATTTGATATCAGCCTTTCAGAGATCAGAAGGTATTAGTGTTTGCCTGCTGAACTAGACCTAAAACATGAGAATAGCACCAGTGCAAATGTGTCCAGCTGATTCTTAGTCAGAATGGTTTTCCCCAGTTTGTGATTCAGAACTTTCCGTAATTGTCTAGTGTGCTCCCTCCATGACACAGAATGCAAGTGAGGAAACCTCTGCTTCTTGCTGGTTCAGCCCAGACTGTTTTGAGCTAGTTCATGATATGCTGCTCTATGATAAATAATGGTCAGAAATGATCTCCTAGACCCTCAGCGTCTGTGATTCTGCAGATATAGGGGATTTCTTTTTAGGCACCTTTGGATTGTGGATCTTTGCCGTGATTATAATTGTTCTCAGCAAGTGTGAGTCAGGCAGGTGGTTTCTTTCAGGTGGAAGGTGGGTGTGGATGCTGCTCCTGACCAAGAACCTGAGCTTGAGTTGTCTCTTCCTGCCTCCGTGCCTTGAACATCCTTCCTAAGCCACTTCATTCCCTGCTGAGTGACCTTTGCAAACAATACTCAAAGACTTTGAAATGGAGATATAAGCATTATGTAGGGATAACTCAGTGTCATACGGTGTGCTTGCATCACAAATGGGAGCCTGGCTAGACATTATTTCATCTGGCAGGATATGGAAAAAGGATAGGGTTTATTTAGTCCTTGGCTT